TGCACTTACACAATCTAGTTGAGAACCATTAGATGCTACACTGCTAGATTAGACCATTAAAGGAGTGGAGAATATAGGATGATTGATTATTATAGGAGAACATTAGATGCTACACTACTAGCTAGATTAGACCATTAGAGGAGTAGAGAATATAGGATGATTGATTATTATATCATATGCTTTTAATAATGTGTTCTTCAAGAGTCCTAGGAGAACATATGACAAACAAGCACTCAAGTTTGGATTATGTAGATAAAAGCATCTTATTCTGATTTTATTGTAAAATTTGGTTACCACTTATAACGCCGTGAAAGTTGATATACTAAAGATATTCCGAAGCTTAAGTTAGTCAAATATAATTAGAAAAATTTATGTGTTTGGCTAAGTAAGATGAGATTACATTGTTAAGGCAAATAGTGGAATGTTGTGATGTCGATGTGTGTCTTTGAACGTCAATAGGATGCAATTAGGGAAAGAATAAGCGTTGTATTTCTTATCTGGAGGGCAAATGTACGTCAACCCGTGGAGTAGCTCTTCACTTCATGGTGATTGGTAGGGTTGATCGTTGAACGATCGATGTTGATTTGGTGATCTTTTTGCTCATACGTCCATGCTATAAGGTCCCTTAACGATCGATCACCAGAAACAGGTTGCTATGTTTCCATTTTTGTATATCAAGGGGACTTGGGCGGATCGACAAGGCGAAATGGCTGCCCACTCAAAGTGGTTTAATTCCTCCAACTTAATATTACTTGTATGAAAGTATTAAAAACCCCCAAGAAAATTGAGCAGGTTGACTATCGGTCAAGCAAACGTGCCACCAACAACATGCAAGTGAATAACTAGCCCTCAATGTTGACCTTTGAACTCAAGGGCACCCAGGAAGAAAAGACCTTTCCCATGGTCCTAAGTAGCATTGACATGCTTCCCTACGTGATCGTCAATGAACAATGTGCCGTACAATGCTTCTTCCACAAAATTCCCAAGTTTTTATTTTTTTTTCAAACTAGATAACTTTCATTAATAAAAATAGCTAGTACAAGATATGGAAAATCCAAAAGGCAATCTAAATACAAGCATATTTTGAAAAGAAAATACAATAAACATGCTCAAAAAGAGCAAACCACAAAAAGCCCCAGATCTGAAAGACTGCTGCCTCCACCACACCGGTTGCGTCACCATCGCAAATCCTCCACCACGATCAAGAAGAACCCACAAACAAATTGAATGAACAAAAAATGGGGGTGAGCGAGTCACCCACGCAATAACCGCTTTATCATCTTACCAAACAGTGCTAATATCATTTTAACTGTAGAGAATGAATCTCATATTGATGAGAGGAGAGACCTTTCATGGGCTTATAAGTAAGTTGGGTTACTTCCTACATTCCCAATTGGTTTTATGGTGAAATCTCAACTTTCTTCATGGTATTAGAGTAGGTTGTCCTATGTGTGAAGCCAAACGGCCACACGCACTCCACACCACCCATTGTATTGTTCACGTGTTAGGCTTGAAAAATTCACCATACGTGAGGGGGCGTGTTGAGAATGAATCACACATTGATGAGAGGAGAGACCTTACATGAGCTTATAAGTAAGTTTGGCTAGTCTCCATATTACCAATTGGTTTTATGGTAGAATCTCAACTCTCTCCATTAACAACCACCCAACACTAAAGTGTGACGAGGAAGAGAAGCACCTGATAATTGACGACGTGAAGAACATAAGAGAAAGAGAAGAGCATAAAAGCCTAGATCTAAAACAAGCTCAGAAAAGTTGAGACAAAAACTCAAACAACACTAGAAATTGTAAGGGCCAAAATGAAATAGAAATGGCAAATGAGATGAGAAAGAAGTGGTTGCGATTGGCAAGTAAGGGGAGTTGCCACTGACCCCATCCCAAAGTAGGAGCCAGGGGCAAGGGCCTGTTTTTCTTTTTGGTTTTTTTAGCTATCGGCGCAAAATAGAAGCCATAGAGGATTAGGCTCGTTAGAGAGACATGTTTCAGTATGTTAAGAAAACGATTCAGTATATCAAGTATCGTAATATAATTCACTTGTATTACGACACTTGATGTACCAAACCGTGTTTATGATATACTGAAAAATCTATGCGTCAAAGAGGGGGGATTAGGGCCTTTTTTTTTTGGCTATCCGAAATAGAAGCCATAGAGGATTAGGCTCGTTAGAGAGAAATGTTTCAGTATGTTAAGAAAATGATTTAGTATACTAAGTGTCGTAGTACAATTCATTTGTATTACGACACTTAATGTACTAAACAGTATTTTTGGCATACTAAAAAATCTATGTGTCAAAGAGGGTGCACTTTCAATCACAAGCTCTTCCTAATTAAAATACAATTAATTATAGTTCCTCCGTAAAAATTGTACCGACTCCGTATTCGATCGAAGATGATCCAGATGCATGAACAAAAACGGAAACCAAGTGACATCAGTTACAGTTCCTCTTCTTTACTTAATTGTCCTTTTTTGTTACCCTAATGTCGTCGGGATCTTCGACACTTCGATTCGATCCATTCTTTAAAGAAAATAAATTAAAAAAATTAGTTAGAATGGATAGTTTGTGTTTAGTATTATGGTGGGGGGAAGAATGTGGTAAAACACACATTGAAACCCATTTGTCCATAACAAGAAGAAAAGAACAAGACGAACAAACCCTACACCAATTAAACAAGACCCTGTCAGAGTCCACTGGTTGTTGGCAAAGATTTAAACTTTAATTAGATTTCAAGAATGTATTCTTTAATACAACGATATATATTTACAGTAAGCGGTGAGAGATATGGATTAGACCGCAAAATGAACAGTCTATAATAATTTAGTATCGAACTCGTCATTAACATAAATCAAATTTAAAACCTTCCACTTACACTAAAAAATAAAAAATAAAAATACTAGACGACATTTTTAAGTTCGTGATTTCAAGAATGTTTAAAGGCCAACGAAAGGAGGAACAGACATTCAGGACCTAATCTTTGCCTTGCCGCCCCCACAAGCTGCAATCTATGAACATCAATATTATTAATTATTATTGAAAATTTTGAAACCCATCCACTTCTTATATTTAAAGCTGTCCAAGATTATAAAAAGTGAAGGGATTTATAATTTAATAAAAACCAATTATTAAAAATTAATGACTGTCACACCCAACGCCATAAGAAGTTAAGGCTGCATTTAAAATTATTGGGGTGTCAACTCCTACATTGAACAAGAAATAGTCCGTTTTTCATTTAATATTTGAGCAAAAATAAAAAATCTCCCAACACCTCGCATGGCATATTACACACACTGACATTAGCCAAAAGGGATGTTTATTAATCTCATGTTTATATAGCTTAATTAAACCAGATTCACATTAATCGTCAAAGACTGTCAGAAAGATTACCACTTGTCTCTTAACTTGGTTAGGATTTTTGCTCACTATCCAAGGATAAATATTTTTAATATACAGACCAAAAAATTGTACAATTGTCGTTCTTCATTTGGTCAAATTTTACGTTTGGCTTGTGTAGCTGATTTAGGGTTCCAAATCGACTATGTGACAACAATTCTAAATTTGTTATGTCTTGTGTCAGAATTTGCTCCCAAAAATTTAAACATGATTTGATGTGGCAGTCGACTTCAGTAATCATCTTTTCTTGTGGGTAAGATGTGATATTTTCATCTTAATCCTTAATACAAAGAATTATAAGTTTATTAGGGGATTGAAACGATTGTTTTTGTTGTACATGCATGTCGATGACCCAAGTTCTCGTTCTTTGGAATAGTAACCATGACTAAACCATTAGAAGTCAAATTAGAAAATGGGTTACATATTTTGAATTATAAACGAAAACTTACAACTCATTTTTATGTTTAAGTAGTGAAAATATTTAGTACGACAGTTTGAACAGTCAATTACAATATTGAAAGATGTATTTGTATGGTGTCTATTATTACATGAATACAGCCGAATTTATTTCTTTGTGAAAATGTCTGATCATTCGACTAATGAGGCTACTTTACCCAAATTTTTATTTTTAGGTATCATCATCATGCAACGTGATATGAAAATAATCATCTAGATTTTCGTAATTCTAATTGTGAGAATATAATTTTTGAAATAGAACAAAAATTAAAGATGAGCAGGTAGATAATTTGATAAATAAAATAAAAGGTGCAAGTATGAACGCTCAAATTTCTCGTTAAGTATTTTTAGATGTCACTTTGGTCCAATCCTACTCAAAATTGCGTTGGACACTGAAGCTTGTACGAAAAGTTGTGCATAGTGCTTAATAATATTTCCCGCACTAAACACACATTAGTGGGTTGCTTTATGCGTAGAACAGCCCCCATGTTGAATGAGTACTACTCTCCTCATACAGAATTTCAAAAATTAATTACACAAAATAAATCATGCATGATTGGCAGTGGACGCAACGTGTATAAAGAGCTCCGATCGCTCTGAATTTTTCACATTCCGGAATCCATCTTTCCTCCCATTTTCTTGGCAACCAAACACAAAGTTAGAACCTCACCAAGATATTGTGTGATGGGATGTCGTAGTCGACTGTCCATACTCAAAGCAAAAGAATCTTAGCACACGCACGCACTGCCCCATCTGCCGCCTTGGTCACATAATATTTTTCTTACATTAATCTGTAGCTTCGGTTTTTCCTAAGTCCCTAAACCTTCCCGTCGATACCGCGGAGCGTGTCCTTCCAAACCACTACCATCTAACATCTCTCCACATGGCAGTAAACTCGCTTCGTAATCACCAAGCCGGTGCCCCCTTACTCGTTGCTTAACTGAGCTCATAATCACTATTAGTACTAATTAAAATAATCGGCATTGTTGCTTGAGAGATATTTTTTATTGTGACGGGAATACGAGTGATACACCATTTGTTTTTATGTAAGTGATTACACTAAAAAATCTTTCGTTGCGTAGACATGTTTCAGTGTTAACTAGGTTTTAAACTAAAGCACGCAGCATGAGTTAGTTGGGGAAGTGAGAGAGAGAGGGAGAGGGAGAGTGAGGGAAACATAGTAAACCTTCGCTTATATCTTTGGGTTTGCGGGTTGTGAACTTATGGGAGGAGAGCTGTACAGAAAGTGACTTCTTTCTTCTTCCTCTTCTATTTCTTCTCTTCCTCTTCTATTTCTTCTTCTTCCTCCTTATCTCTCTATCTTCGTCGTCGTCGTCTTCTTTCGTAAGTTTCTAGAGAGAGAGAGATGGGGAACTGTCAAGCCATTGATGCAGCAGCTCTGGTGATACAGCATCCGAGTGGGAAGCTAGAGAGGATGTATTGGCCTATAAGTGCGAGTGAGGTGATGAGGTTGAACCCCGGTCACTACGTTTCCCTTATCATTCCGTTGCCGGTTTCCGAACAAGATCACGAACAAGTAGCAGAGAATAACGAGGAGGAGCACGGCAAAGCGGTGCGCTTCACTCGCGTCAAGCTTCTTCGGCCAAACGAAACTCTCGCTCTCGGCCATGCCTACCGGCTGGTCACCACTCAAGGTATGGTCTTTGTGTTCATGTTTTTTGAGGTTGTTGTCGGGTTTTGAAAGTTTCTGTGTGTTGATGTTTGTGTTTTTTTGGGATGGTATTTGTAGAGGTTACGAAGGTTTTGAAGGCGAAAAAGAAGAAACAGCAGCTCGAATTGCTCGAGAAGTTGCGAACGGGGCAAGGGAAGGAGAATTCGGGTTGCGAAGAGGCAGCAGAAGAAGTGAAATCTAGTGACAAGGAGAATATCAAGCATGTATGTAGAATTTGAACAACCCTTCTAATCTTTTTGTATCGACAAACTTGTGTCATCGGTCGGTAATACTAATGCTTTAGCTGTGTCGTAATTCAGACTTCAAAACGCGAAAGGCACCGATCAAGGACATCATCAGCGAATGCTGCTGCTGCTGCAGCCGCACTGAGGTCCAAGTCTTGGCGCCCCTCGTTGCAGAGCATCTCCGAGGGCGTAAACTGATCAGCGGTTTCCAAACTTCGATAGCGAACAAATTGCAGAGTAGACAATAGAGTGCAAAAATTGATCGAAACCCGAAATTAATGGAGTCGGGAAGGAGTTTTCTAATCCAATGTCAATCACATCCCCCCCCAAAATTCATCCCATGTTGAAAGCAATAATCCATCTGTATAGCAACACACAGAAAAAAAGCACTGAATCTGACATTGTATTAGAAGTGTGAGTTTCCTGGTAGCCAATGGGTCTCTTCCCCATTTTTTTGTGTTTTAAATATAAATGATCTGGAGAAATACAAAACCAAAATATAAATTTGTGTGGATTACAAAAATAATACATCATTTCGGTGTTTTCGAGTTCCAAATTTCCCAGTCTCGATCGAGGTAGCTTTGAGCCCATAACAGAGATGTTCTTGCAGCCAAAGGTGCTCCAGGTAATTCCTTTTCTTTCAGAGCAACCAACATATCAGTGAAAGGCTCTACCAACAATGTCCCGGGTCCTCCATACCCCCTGTGCAAGAATTCACTGAATATCTGGTTTGAAACAATAGGTTAAATTAGTTAATTGAATTCTGAGTGATTCAAATAGTATGCAACTCCAACTTTTCAGACGTGAGCGTAGCCAAATTGACTACAACTAATGTGTTCTACCCTATGCACCCGGGTTTTAATGCACCACCTATTGATATTGTGGGTAGGAATAAGATAACATTCGCCAGAAGGTAAACGTGCAAAGATGGTATGAACTATTTGATGGAAGCTGTCTGGAAAATAGTACAGGGGAGTGAGGTCAGATTTTTGTCCAAAAGGCTCAATTATTGTACTGTTTTACAGGTCAGGCAAAACTCATAGCCTCACAGGCTCTCACGCACCATAGAAATTAGAAAAGAAAGGAAACATCTGATTCACATAAAGGGTTGGCTTGCACCAAAAAAGGTACAACTCCTTAGGCCCCCAGTATTAATCTTTATCATACAATTGGGTAAAAAAAATTAAAATTTGAAAAGGAATCCCTCAATCCTTTCCCCCTCCAGCCGGCCATGGCTTGAATTTGAAATTAAAACGGGGAGAGGGATTCCAGATCAACATTTTCTATGCCAATAGATCCATCATTCCCAAAGACATCACAGCTTCAAAACTAGGGCTCGTCTGATAACCATCTCATACTTTGTCCATTACATTGTTGCCATACCTCTTCGAGGGAAACATTTTCCCCCACCACATTGATTGCCGTTAAATCACACTAGCGACAATCAATACGCTGGTTATGTGGTGACCGAAAAAATGCACTCCTCTTAGAATGAAGGGTCAGTTTCAGATTACAGGTCCTTGTACTTAGTTGTATATAATTATACACATTACTCGTGTAATCAAAGTAGACAGTTCTTCCAATCTTCACAAATCACATTGTCCCAGGGTTGGAAAAATTAGGTGACTAGACCTAGCCATAAGTGAGTCAGAAATCAAATCCAACACGCATATCACAGACCACAGATGCAATGAATGCTAGGACCACATGTCAAATAGGTAATCAAAATCTATGTCTCCACCGGCCACCAGGAAGTCCAGAATAATAAATGTAAACCAAACATGAAGAAAAGAACCCACTTGCAATCGATCAGGTCTCTATGATGCAGAATCCGAATGTTCTCATTACCATATCATAATTATATTCTCTCATTAACTTCTCACTGGAATAGGCCGGAATCTGAAGTCCAAGCCCAGTAATTTTGCCCTAAAGAGTTTTGAATGCACCAGAAGTTCACAACCAAGGCCTATTTCTAGCACGAGATGGGCCAGCTACTGCTCATAGACTCATGTACATATTCACTGTTCATCAACCTTTTTATTATACAAGCAAAATTGGGTAAGGGATCCAAAATTTCGAACTCAGGTCTTTAGTTGCGGGTTGAATACTCTTATCCACTTGAACTACGAGAGAGCGGGTGCATCAATCATTTGCAACTCCAAATTGGTGAAACAATGGCATTCTATTAGCTACCCTCAAATTCATAAATACAAGCTAAATCATATTCTTCCTAGAAGCTAACGTGGCGGCATATGGTTTTGTTACGTTAGGACACAACTCCCTCAAATTACACAACTAAAGTTATCATTTTTATCAATCAACTGTTCAACACAGAAAACGGGAAAAGAAAACCCATTAGAGATATGAGTAACATACCTCTGCACAGACGTCTACCACACTATGGAGGTCATGCCCAAAAGCCTCCTTCTCCTTAAGTAACCTCCTGGAAAGCTCTGCCCTGAACTTCTGAGTCTCCTGCAACAAACAAGTCGAGCTAATAACACAGCATAAACATGCATCCAGATCAACTCCACAAAAAAGGCATAAATTCTCAAGCATACTTACAGATTCTGCGAACTGGGGAATTGGGTCAGGATAAACATACTTGTGGGGCGTCGCCGCCGTGGCTCTCGGCGGCTTTACGGCGGAGTTTCTGAATATGGGTTTTAGTGGCGGACGAAGAATATGAATAACGGTGGACATTGGGGTTTTGGAGGGAGGAGTGAGTGCTGGGCTCGAAACGAGCGGGCCACAGCCACAGGGTTTGTGGAGCGCCATTGTTAAGGAGTACGCAACGACATTCAGATTGGCGGATATGATTCCAACGAAATCAAAACCACAGCAACATTATTTGAATTGGGCCGGTTGGCTTTTTCGTAGAATTGTAATGGGCCAGCATTTTAAGATCGCTGGCTTACGCTTGGGTTTCAGATCTTATGGGCCTCTATGTAAGTTGAGTTCTTCCCCATGTTGATAATTCGTTTTATAGTAGAATCTCTTTATTAGAACTGGTTGTCTCACGTATGAAGCTCAATGATCTCACGCACTCCATGCCATCTCATTTGTGTTGCTCAAGTGTTTGAGTTGAAAATTTGCCACACGAGAGGGGCGTGTTGAGAATAAATCTTAAATTGATGGGAGGATGGACCTTGCAAGAATTTATAAGTAAGTTAGACTACTCCCTACATTACCAATTCATTTTATAGTAAACCTCAATTTTCTTCGTAATAAGAATAAGCCGCACTTTAATATTCCGTTCTTTTTTTTAGAATTACTCTATCAATGACGTAGCCGGGGCCAACCACACAGGTTTTTCTACATGACAAGCATAGAAGAAAATTTTTTAGGGAAATAAAACCAGAGAAAGGTTGTGTTATTGTGCGTGCAAAATAAGTGGTAGAGTGAGTTTCCCAACAAAAAAAGAAAAGAAAAGTGGTAAAGTGAGAGAAGTTTTGGATACAAATGGAAACTCAAAAAACTTAAAATAAAATGAAAATAACAAAGTTTTTTACCTTTAAAATAATAAAGTTTTGGATCCTACACGTTATTGTACTTTGCTTAAACCACAAAAGTTCTAAATTACTAGTTTACTACCACGTTGGGAGGAGACAGTCAAATGGGAAAAGGCAATTAACATAGAGAGAAGTGCTTCGTATTAATCCCTAATGCTAATTAAAAAGTGTGTCTACAAATTAAACATGTTCATCCTCAAACAATGTGAACTTTCTTTTCAACTTAATTGCATTAATAAATCAAACATTATGGAGGAAGTTTTCTGCTAAACAAAAGCATCCACCCCAATTAGCGATTGTTGGCCTATGGATAAGTTCACATCCAATTCCAAACCCTACATTATGTTTTCTTTTTCCCTCATTTTTTTTATGATTCTTTTCGAAAATCAATATTTTGATACGGAAGAGTTGAATACAAAATTTCAAGCGAATTCTTAAATTGGTTGAGATACAAATATTTTGTCATACTCTTGACGTTTCGCCTTAAAGATTTTTTTGTTTCTTCTTTCCGTATGGGTTAATGAAGTGGAATGCACTAGAATCAATTGTTTATATGCATTCGCCCTTTATCTTTTTCTTTCTGTAACATATTCCCACATGCAAAGACAGAGAGGAGAACTGATATGGCACTTAAGAAGTAGCTAGAATATGTTCATGAGGATAAAGAAACTAATACGAAATTAAAACAGGAAATATTTGAATTATCATTTGAATTGTCATTAACCAAGAGGAGCATATATTTCAATTTGTACCCAAGATAAAAGGGATCTATGCCTTTACCCCTAAAAAATTTCAACGACCACAACCTTTCACAGTTGGTGTTCTACACCTAAACATAATTAGGCAATTTTCTAATCTTGTCTTTGTCCTGGTTATTCTTTTAATGCAGTCTGAGTAGAAGCTTTCGGCTAACGTCCTTTTCGGCTAAGGCACACGACTTACTAAACTCAAGTCACATTTTCCATTCGTACTTGGTTATGTATTCTTTATGCAATTTATTTGTCTAGTGATTTATTAATTAGTCTCATATGTATGACAAGTTTCTTTTGTCACATTATATATGACAAGTGAAATTGTAGATTGTTTACATGCATTTGTTGATTAGGGTTTTGAGATGATCATGGCTCAATGTATTTTTATGCAATCTACTTTGTCTAGTGATTTGTTAATTAGCCTCACATATATGATAAGTTCATTTTGACACACAATATATATGACACGTTAGAATGTTAACATGCATCGTTGATTAGGGTTTTGAGACGACCATGGCTCAACAAATTTTTTGTGCAAAATCTACTTGTCTAGTGAGTTGTTTAGCCTCATATGTGCGATAACTTTATTTTATCACTTAGTACGACACATTAAATTGTCATATTGTTAACATGCATTGTTGATAAGGTTTTGAGACATTCATGCCTCAGTACATGCTCCTTAATTTCAACTATAGCAAAAGACATTTTGTTTGCTTTTGATCAAATTATGACAAGAAAACAAAAATGTGTTGTGTTATGTGTACATATATAATTAATAAGATGCATATGCATGATATGATCTAAACGAAGAGATGGTAGCTGTTTAATGTATATTGATGATTAAACGGACGACCCTTTTGTCTCCACTCTTGAAAATGGAGGTCCAGCTTCAGGCACTATCAAAAAAGCAAAAGAAAGAAGAAAAAAAATATCAGACATACACGCTCCCTCGATAATAGCCAACCGGCCTTCGTACATCGGCTCCTACCCCCTTTCAACTTCTTTTCGTGGCATCCAAAGAGTCCTCTCCAATTTTGATTTGATCAAGTTGTAAAAATAAAGCCAAACACATGCACTAGGCCTCCCCATACAGATACCACGTTTACACATATCTGCATGTCGTCATCTGTTCGATTGAGCTGGAAGATCATTTTGAAGAGACAACATGAATTTTACAGGCGTTGGAGGGGTATTCGATCAAATTTTGTGGAAAAATTAGCTTAAATGACCAAAATCAAATTTCACCATTAACTTATTGATGACTTATCAATTAAATATCGATAACATACTGATATACTGAAAAACTGATCATTTCAGTAATTTTGTCCGATTTCCCAATTTTCTGTTTTAATTTGAACATCTTTTCTTTTAATTGATTTAATTCTTTTACATGGGGGATGGTGACAATGAGTATTTCAAGGACTTGAGAATGGTGGTGTCTTGCATTCAGCATAAAATCAAAACCCATATCTGATATCCGAAATATTCAGCATCATTCTAGCTTTTGAACCCTTTAGTCTAAGGGGCCTATGGACTTTTGCAGAAACCCCACGAGCATATGGTTTTTACAACGAAAGATGACCTTTAAAGGATGAATATTTAGGGTCCTCTATCTTTGTCATTGGCCTCAAAAAGTTCAAAATTCCGCAAGAAAAAGAGTAGGTAAAGAGCTAGATTCTGCTCCCTACACCTCCAAACCTCTTACTTTTGAGCACTAAGAGAGAAAAAGAAATTTTGGCTTTAGGGTTTATACTTAGGATTCCTCACTTTAGAACCCCATTTTGTTTAGAGAAAAAGAAGCATGCGGACAAGTTTTCACCACTGAAAAATAAGAGGGTTGGGCCCTTGCAATTCCATTCCCTCGTATACAGTTCAAGAGAAACAAATTACATGGCTATATATTGATATAATCGCTTACAATTTAAGTGACAGATCATGTATTTTCATTCTTAAAATAAGTGATCGATCGAGTTTAATAGCATGAATCTTAAACTTGATTTGTACTTGGGAAAAAGTAATAATCATTTGCCACTAGTTACTCTAATTATTTGAGTTATACCCATGTGATCTCTACCTCATTGATCTATGATCTACAGTAATCTCAAGTTTCTCAAAAATTCAACAGTTGATGCATGATTGTCAATTACCACATCTAATATTTCAACATATGCTCGGTATATAATAGGTGAATGATAGCAACATGTTAATCATCCCCACACTTTACTGCTTGGTCTTGATCATGATGGGAGGGATAAATAATGTTGGAAAGAAATTGCCTACAAAATCCAAATTCACAGATGCACCACACCACCACCTTCCTATTTCTATTAGAAAAAACAAAGTGTATACAGAAAAAAAAAAACAAAACAAAACGTTTTCACCTTTTTATATCCAATGAGAAGGCGTCGCGTCACCATCATGTGTTCGATATAGTGCCATCGAATTATACTCAAGGGACCCTGAAAAACCCTACTGCTCAATGCTCATGTGAGTTAGGGCACTATAAAAAGAATATAATATCAGCACTGCATTTGTATCTACTGTTGTAAACAGCACCATCTATGGCTGCGGCTGTGGAAAAAATAAAAGTATATGATCTTGGATAAAGATGAATCATCTGTATCTATTTTGTGTGATTAAAATTGTTTGATGGCAATGTCATTGCGCTCCTCGGTTTGTCCTATTTCCCGTCAGATTTATGTTTTAATTAAAGTTAAGCTTTTTTGTCACATATCATCCATAGGGCTAGGAGGTGGGCTAATTGTGATTAAATTACACCAAACCTGCGGACCTGCATTTTGTCTAATGGGTGACCTTTTTAGTGGGGGAAGAAGAAGAATATGGTGGATCCGAATTGGCATTTGGTAACGGATCCGTGTGGTCCAAATTAATCTTCATCGCTCCCACCAAAAAAAGAAAAACCCTAGCTAGCTGGCCCTAATGAGGCAATTCCATGTTCCATGAATTGATTAATTAGCAAGTTCCATTCATAATTAACTAAATTACTAAGTGGATTCCGACAGCTTGGATCGATCAAGGGATCCACATTGTCGAAACAAACTTAATTAAATCCTTTTGTAAAGCAGCAAGGAATTACCTAGCTAAGCTTCATCAATGTGAATAAATTATCTAAACCTATGTTTTTCTCAACTCAGAATTTACTTAATTTATTTGTTCAACACTTGTTCATCAAATTTAAACATTCAACTTTCTAAAACATAGTAAAACCTAAATACACTGTAGAAACCCTAAAATTTAATAATTAATATGGTAGCATGGATGCTTTTTCGCAATGTCCTCGATGGATGATGGCATTATTATACCCTAAAAGGGCAACCATCCAAGAGGAATTGGAGAAAGTGTACTTTCTTTCCAATAATTATCACTACGTTGGTTGTTTTATTTCATGGTGGTCCATTTAAACAGCCATATTGACATAATTTAGATGTGTGTGTGCAAGGGCGAAGCTAGAAATAATGTTTATGCGAGCACAACTAAGCAATGACAGATACAAGTCTTCATGGAATTTCAAAAATAGTGCAGTGGCAATTTTTTCAAATTTTAAGTGAGGCATTTTGCCG